CCTCCCGCCCAGGCGTGGGCCCCCCCCCCCCCCCCCAACCTGATGCCCTTCAAACCTCCCCAGCTTGTCCACCCAGCCTGAGGCCCTACTCTGCCAGTGCTCCTGGCCTTCCCCATAGCCCAGTGTCCTCTGATCCCTGCAACACTCCCCACCTCACCAACAGCCCCAGCATCCTCCATCCCTAACCTGCCCCCTCACAAAGTGCCTCAGCCTGCATTCTCCCCAGTCTTCCCAGCCTCCCCTACCACCAGGAAACACCCTCCCCAACCTGATACCCCCCACATCCCCTCCCAACACTCCTGGTCCCACTGACTTCCCCGCCTTCTCTTCTCCCCACCTCTCCCCCTGCACTGTTCCCAGCACTGCCCTCCCTCCCTCCCGGCCCCCCACATACACACAATTCCTGGGCTCCTCTGGCTGCTCCACACACCCAGCCCTTCTGATTCTCTGTCCTATCCTCCCTTTCCTTGTTCTCCCCTTTGCAGCTCTCCCCATCCCCTGCATGTCTGTCTGTCTGTCCCTGCCTCCCTGCAGCATGTTGTATTGCTATCTCTTAGGAATCAAATGCTTGTGACAAAGGCACTGGGAGGGAGTTAGTGGGGAGGCTCAAAGATGGGCCCCCACACACACATGGACCCACTCAAGCTATGTGGCAGCCCAGGGTCAGTGGGGAGGGGGTGGGGGGAGGGAGGCCTGGAGACAAGGAGCAGGAAGACCCTGTAGCCCACTTAGAAGCCAGTCTCCACACATGGACCATGCCCAATATAAAAGCTGCTCACTGCAGCGGAGTCCCAACAATAACCTTCCCCCCCTCCCGTGTAGTCCTTGCTGCAGTGGCGTCACAGCGATAACCTTCCCCTCTCCATTTAGTGCTTGCTGCAGTGGTGTCACAGCAATAATGTTCCCCCTGCTAAGTACTCAATGCAGCTGTGTCACTGCAATAGCCTCCCCCCCACATAGGTCTGTCCTGCTGCACAGTGGGATGGTGTCTCTGCTATAGAGATCCCCTCTGTGTAGAGGTGGGGTATATTTGGTTCTACCCCCATGAACAGTAACCCCCCAGCAGCTCTCTGGGGCAGTAACATCCCCCCACCCCATGCCACAGTGTTGGGGCTGGTGTTGTGATAAGGGTGTCTCCCCCATGCATTTTAGTTCTACCCCCCTACAAACCTGTGTCCTCCTTGTCTCCCCCCACCAGGGCATGTACAGCTGCTGCAGCAGTGAGGATCCAAAGGCCAAGGACCAGCAGCAGCTGCCCATCCTGAACCATAGCTATGGGCCACAACGCAGTGGGGCACCAGCCCTGCCCAGCCCCCCTGCCCCACCCCTGCCCTGCAGCAGTTTCCTGCCCCGGGAGCGCCGCATCGTGGAACGTTGGCGTCACGCCCGCAGCCCCAACTGCTACAAAGACCTGTATGCACCACCTGGTCCCCCTGAGCCCTCTGGGGCCAAAGCCAGCTCCCGCCACGGCCTCCAGAGCGCCTTCACCGATGGTTTCCACCGATTCTACGGCCCCATTGAACCTGAGGGGCTGTCAGATCACCTGGGTGCAGGTGCTGGAGCGGGGATGGCTGCACCAGGGCAGGCAAAGAAGATGGCGCCTTGCCAGCTTTCACCGCCACCTCCCGCCAGAGGTCTGGAGAACCCCCCATCCTACTTTGCCATTGTGCGGGAGAAGGAAGAGCCGGAACCACCTGCTTCAGCCTGGCATCGTAAGTCCCTGCGGGGCCTATACGAGAGTTTCCAGGCAGGCAAAACTGGGAGCCGGACACCAGAGCCCAAGAAGCACGGGGTTGGCATGAGTGGGGCCTATGCCCCCAAGGGTCCCCGTGAGCTGGAGTGTGGGCGCCCAAGCAAGGAGACGGGGCGCTACGGCTACACCCGCCTGTCCTATGAAGACGAGCGCACCCCACCGCGGGCCCCAGCCCCCCGTGGGCGTGTGCG